GAGCAAGGAGAGTACAGGAAGGAGTGTGGACTGCAGGAGTGGGAAGACAGCCATCTGTTGAGGATGGGTTGGTGCGGGGACACATATGGGTCCCAACCATGGGTCCCAGGTTCCAGTGAAGGATGCCTGAGTGAATGGAAAGGGTGGATGTGCCTAATTGAAGCCCTGCTCTACTGGCAGGCACACAAGTCCTATAGGGGGATGCTGCTGTAAAATTACAGCCTGTAGGTTAGTAGTTATCCCCCTGAATAAGGATAACTTTCCTTTCCATCCTAACTCAAGGACAGCTCACACGTAGATAATGAGGAAGTATTTTCAAAGCTCAACAAACACATTTTCCTTTCCCTACCTCCAAAACATGAGAAAGCAGAGACAAAGCATGCTTTTAATCTCTTTTTATATCCTCTATATCCCATTGGCCAAATCATCTTATAAGTCTGATTGGAAAACAATGTTGACACACTATTTCTAACTGGTTAAAGACCATAGTCACGGCCACTTCCTATAAGTATCGATTATAAACAAATATCCTTGGGTTTAAATAGCATTTTAAATGTAAACCACTTCTAAGATTCTTAAAGACATCACTCAACCCTATCTTCTATTTTTATAAGTTGGATAATAGCATTTAAATCTCATTCTCAGTTTTTACTTTTCACTGCGGGTATAAGCTCCTGCTGTTGGGAGTGTTGGATGCACATACGTCAGACTGTTTATCTTTCTGACTCTCCTTTCCTGAGATTGTTATTCAAATGGAGCCCCTTCTGACAACCTTTTACTGGTCCTTACTCTCCCACGGCCAGTCCCACAGCATCCTAAGAAATCTGGAGTCCAGAGGAAAGGAAGATGGATAGTGCATTTTTCATGTATGTATGGCTATTTATATATAGTGTGCCTCCAGTACTTATGGCTTGAAACAAACCAGCTGTAATTTGAAACCCTACTATATAATGAATATTATTAATAACCAACTCCTAGAAATAGCTAACTTCTGGAAAGAATAACAATGAAGGCAATTATATTTCATCTTTATGATAAATAATGAAAATTTCTTCCTTAAAGCCAACCTCCACATTTCAAATAGGATACCATTTTAAAAGAACACTTTTTGAACAAACAGTGGGAGAGAAAAAATGTCTAGAAGGAAGAAGTATTCTCTAGGTCCACAACATTCGCTTCGATTATAAGTCAAGTACATTTCATTTACTCTTCATAGCGTTCTGTCGTAGGACTGTTGGGTCTGTAAGGCTGCTTTCCTTTCCCAGATTCCAGGGATAATACCAAGCCATAGTACCATATTACATACTACACACTTCTGTTGCTAAATTACATAAGAAATGTTGGTATGTTTCTTATACTCACGCCTCTTAATGCATCATCTGGGGCCTCTTCTCACTTTCCCAGCCTTACTTTTTCCTAGTAGAAACCTTTGTCTGGCTAACATTAAAATTGTATGTTAGTAAGCTTGCTGCCTCATTTTACAAAGGAAAAAACAAAAAACTTAAGTAGAAATAAATTAATGAACTATAAGGCTATCATTAGAGTTTTACTTCTTTAATATAAAAAGGACTTATTCTAATTGTTTCATTTCTCTTGAATTTTTTCTTCTCTTGAATTTTCTCATCTTCACAAAAGAGTGCTTTTCTGTACCTCTTCTCATTTCACAGGAAATGTCTCCACACAATGTATATATTTTCTATCAGTTGGTCTGCCTCAAGCGGGTTCAACCCAGGTGGGTAGTTTTTTTCCTTTTTTTGCAGAAGTTGTTCAAATTGAGTACTGACTTCTCTCACCCAGAAACCACAAGTCTCAGTTTCTCCTAGGTTGAGGCAAAATGATTCTCCCCATCTTATTAGCAGTTTTCTGACAAACTTACTATTTCACGATCTTTCTGTTTCATAAACTTGACCATGTTATGATTAACCCATTGAACTGGCCAGGGTCTAAAATGTTACTCCTATCTGTCAATGAAGTAATTTCTGCTAGGGCTCTCCTGTGTACAGGGATGTTTTAAAGAGATGCATGGAGCCCTTTTATCTGCAATAGGGGCTCCCCTCTGCCACCAGTGGGAACCATTTTTAGACACATATGGGTTTCCACGCCCTGGACTAGATTCATCCCAAAGAGCAGTGCCATCCATTACTGGGTACTAAATGCCCCATTCTAGAATCAGCCCGAGCTCAAGGAGAATAATATGACTGGGGCACCTCTTCCAAAATCCTTCCCTCAGAAGCCTGCCAAAATCTCTCTGGAGAAGGCGTTTTTGTAAACTGTAAGACACTATGTAAGTGTAGGAGAACGCCTCAAGACTAGAGTATATGTGACAGCTTCGGTTCAGCCACTTCCTAATTGTGTGACTTTGGGCACATTGCTTAGCCTCTCTGTGCCTCGGTTTCTTCATGGACTGGTTATTTCTGTTTGTCCTTATGTCCCATACTGAGCCCCATGGCAACCGATACTTCAGATCTGTATTACCCAGACTTCCTTGACTTCAGACTTCTAATTGTTTCAGCCAACAGGAAATCGGAAGGAGGAAGGTAGTATTAGAGTATTTGCTCCCCCAACATCTCACTGACCTCCCAGCTGTTCACCTCACCTGCTACCCCCACCCCCAACCACTGGGCTCTGGCCACATCCCTCCATGACGGCAGATGGCTTTGTAGAGCAGCTCTTCCCGAAGAGCTGCTCATCAGGCTCTGGATACCCCATTTCCTCACTTGTCCTTTGGGCCTAGGCATGAGAGCAGCTTCCTACTGCTGCTAATTTCCTAGATGCCTCAATATCCCTGACTGGTTCCCTTAAATCTACCTACACATCTGCAAACAGTCTCTTCCTTACCTTCTCTTCGGAATACCATCTGTGTGTGCCTCCTATTTCTTGCTAGAGCCTTGACTAACACATTCCATAGGACTGTTGTAAGGACTAAATAAATCAATACATATAAAGTCTTAGATAAGTACTGGGCACAGATTGAATGCTATGTGACTAGCTGTTGTTGTCGCTAAGGCTGCCCTGCCTTCCTTTCCTATCAGTCCTGGAAGACACACCACTGAGGCTGCCCAAATAGATAGGGGGCCTCTCTCCAGAAAGCCTCAGCTGTCTGGAGGCCCTCCACCAGCCTCCCTCCACGAGGATGCTAACACAGGGCCGGACGGGAAGGCCAGAGTGGAACGGACTCAGACACAGATGGGAACAGGGGCAGGCAGGCAGCTGAAGGAGTATCGGGGGGGTCTCAACAAGTAAACAGCCATCGGCTGAAGGGCTGTCATTCCCACAAGTTGTGGGCTCCAGGAATTGAAAGTTAGAGGAGTGTTTGGTTGATGGGATACTTAGAGGATACGGGAGAGTGCAGAGGAGGACAAAATGCCCGAGACAAACTTCCTCTACTTCACCACTTGGCCAAGGGCCAGCCTGGCTGATTCCCAAGTTTCTGAAGACCAGGTGGACTTAAGTGTTTGGAACTAACAGGATCTTATCTAAAAGAGTGCCAGCTGGCAAAGTTCACACTCACATATTTACACTGGTGAAATCTGGTTCAGGCAGAACCACAACCATTTTTCATTAACAGGACTGAGGACATAAATAGAGGATCAGGAGGCCGTGCACAGCAGTGCTTGAAACACAGGTTCTCGGGACAGCCTGACGAGATTCAAAATCAGCTCCAGCACCCTCGGGCTGTGCAGCGCTGGGCAGGTCACTCGGATTCTCTTAAGCCTCAGATTTTCAGTCTGCAGAAATGTTAATAACAGATCCTCCCCCGAAAGTGGTTATGAGAACTAAATAAGGAAATTCAGGAGCAGTGCTTTACGCAGCACCTGACGCATAGTAAGCCCTCAAAAATGTTTGCTCTCATAATCGCCACCATTATTAAGATCTCCATCATGGTTCTTAACAGTTAACTGGTGAAAATCTTGCAGGCGTGAGTTAATGAAAAGGCAATATGGCTTGTGAGGATATAAGAAAGGAAACGGAAGTTATACTGTAAGATGGTATTTTATCAACCCACTTACTCTTTCTCCTTTTCTCAAAATAACAGATGCACAAAATCCAGACCCAGGAAAATTGCAGTCATTAGTGAAACCTCAGGGTGTACCTGCTCTTTAACATAGTGATTTGAAAGTCAAGTTCCGGAATCAGACCAGTCTGGGTTCCATCCCAGCTCTGTCATTTAAGAGCTGTTTGCCCTTTGGGCAACTTACTTTATCTCATTAAACTTCAGTTGTCTCATCTGTAAAATGGAAGAAATAATAGTTTGTACACCATAGGATACTTATGAATATTGAGATGATGCATGCAAACCTCTCAGCAAACGTTGGCTCTCATTAGTTTACTTCCAACAAAAGGAAGTTGTGAGAATTCAAATATTAAATAAAATAGAAGACATTCCTAAGAACATTTGGGAGATTTCACAGTAAAAAATTCTGTGGTTTAGAGGGAAGATTGACTGGAAGGAGGAATGAGGGAATTTGGGGAGTGATAAAAATGTTAAATTGTGGTTTTCAGTGGTAGTTACATAGGTGTATAGAATTGTAAAAATTCGTTGAATTGAGCACTTGAGATCTGTGTGTTTTATTGTACAAAAATTACACTTCAATTAAAAGAAAAGAGTAGTTAAGAATTCTGCTCTGGATCTAGGATTTTATCCCATCCAACCCTCTATGTGAAGCCTGGAAAATATCCCTGATGCCATTCATTTAGAGAAAAGGTGAGGGGATGCTGTTGTCCATACTGTGTACAATCAAAGGCTCTCTGTCATTAAAGGTCCTGTTTCTGCTTAAAACTCATTCACTGGAAATCAGTAAGGGCAATGGAGGAGCCCTAGTCATGAGTGTCATTCATCAGATCCAAGGGAATCTAGAGCTTATCCTCATTGACCTTACCTAGGATGTACATCTATAACTGACTAGATCAATGGCTAGGGCAGAATCACACCCGCTCAACGACTTACTTGTACGTATCACGAAAGGTTTATTAACAGTGGCTTTTGTCTTGCTATATAGGAGTAAGGCAAGCATATCTGATGAAAGAAAGGATGAACACATGAAAGGATGGATGAAGGAAGGAACAAACAAGCATTTACTGAATGACGATCATACATCACCTTGATTATTTAAGGTAATTTAATTCTCACAAAAAACTTGTGGGATAGAGGTTGTTATCGTCACTTTACAAATGAGAAAATCTATGCTTAGAAGGTAAAGCGATTAGCCTAGGCTTCTACAGCCAGATCACAGCAGAGATGGCCCCTATATAATCTGATTATATCCTAAATCATTTCCATTTGTTACAAATAATATTTTTTCTCAAGAGCTCCTGCATATTTTATTGGAGCTTGTAAGCATCGTTTAGCAAGCATCAAAAGGTTTCGTCTCTGTTCCAGACGCTATTCCAGCTACTTCTGTTAGGGAATTAATCAACAAAAAGTTATGAAGTAGGATACACTTCTGAAGTATTAGTCAATGTTTTCCTCTAATATTTTCTCTACTTCTTCATTCTTACCATCGTTCAAGCAGCAGACAAGTTATTCTGAGTTCTATTACCCCTAGGCAGAATAGATTAACAGGAAGCAGACAAAAAAATAAGCTACTTTTGGCTTTTGAGTCTCCAAAATCTAGGGCCCATGGGGAATGGGAAACATGCACGGCGTAAGTAAGATGTAGAAGTCTACTTGGTAATTTAGAGGAAGAGCTCCCACCCAAGATTACAGAGAGATCTCCCAGGGTGGGGGAAAGAAGTATGTTAGAAGTCAGGAGAACACAAATGCTAATGTGACCCGTGAGAAGGGTCTCACTCCCCTCCTTCCCCCTCACCCATTCAAGTGTCAGATGGGAAGGAGGGATCATGGAAGCTCCAGATAGGTCTGTGGATTCTCAGATCAAAGGGAAAGAGTGAGAATAGCCTAGAAGTAAAATGACTGTGAGGTGTGTCCAGCAGACAGATATTGAGGGTGTGGTCCCTGTGGGAGATGGAGGGGTGGGAGGTTTTCTACCTTCCCAGTGTTGGCCATCACAGTGGAAGCCAGCATGCACAAATGATGACCAGAGACCAGACCCAAATCCTACACCCCTAGACCCCACCTCTTGTCACTGGAACATCCTCCAGAAATTAGATGCAACACCATTACCCATTTCCTGCACCACTGGGAAGGGTGGGAAGAAATCCCCAAATGGACAGAGATTAATTTCTGCCACATTGGAGGAATGGGGGCTCAAAACAGAAATTAGGTAACAGAAAAATAAACAGATTTCTTGCACAGTTAAGTTTGCAGACTGGCATTCATTTTGCTACAGCTGTATCTGTAGTAGATAGTCATACTTCAGATAGAATCTAGAAGGAAACAGTACTTGAAGCTTACAAATAGAAATCTGGAGGAAAAAAGAAATTCGTTAAAGACAAAATATCCCTTTCAACTTGGCTCCTGAGGATACTGCTGTCCTATTCATGAGCTCATCCTATTTGTTTGGATAGCCCCATGTTTACCTTTGCTTGAAAATTCATGGACCTTACTCCTCATGGTTTATGTGACCTTCTACGTGTACCCTTCAGAGTCTCTTATCATATTAAACTTTTGTTCTGGGACTTGTTTATTTTGAAGCAGAAGTTTTTAAGGTAAGAGTCATTTATTGGTTGAATCCTTTGCAAAAATCCTCCTATCCAACATGAACTAGAATATTCTCTTCATGGCCCTTCTCTGTGGGTTCCACACTCCACAGCTGCTCCTTGTCCTTACTTATGTAATCTCTAGTTTCCCATACACCATCTGTCAGGGGATGACCCAGGGATGACCATCCAGATAAGGCAAAAATAAACTGGGGGAGGGGAGGTGGCCACCAAGCCGATTTCTTTGAAAAAAGTTTGTCATTTGAACCTTGGAACACTTAATGGCCCAATCTGACAGCTGGGTTGCTAGAAACGGGTAGTGGAAGTAAAGAAACCAGTTATAAGGCGATTTCAGTGGTGCAGGAAATGGGTAATGGTGTTCTAGGCTAAGATAGTAATGTTGAGACATGCTTCATTTAGGCATATGCTATATTTTGAAAGTAGAACAAACACGATTTGGATGTAGGGTATGAGGTAAAGGAAAGGGTCAAGTTTGATTCCTGCGCAGGCCAGAGTTACCTGGAATTTCATATGAATGGATAAAACGTGCCTGAGAATGGGTTTAAAAACTGAAATCAGCTAACTAGAAACCAAACAGAAAAATTAAGGAGATTTGAATGAATTTTTCTAAACTTAGTGACAATTGAATCTGTCACGGAATCAGCAACAACAAAAGCCTCAATCTAATCGAGCTATTAAACCTACCGATAAAAACCACATAAAGCACGAAGTTGCAACCGATTTAAAGAAAAGCTACACGCATAACAGAGGTCCCCAAGTTCATAGGGAAAGCCAGTTGGTTTCCTTCTCCGTAAGTTCAAAATGCAGTCACCTGACTGCAGTCCGCTAGGTCCCCCTGCTGGTGACTAGAAGAATTACCTCTGGGTGAATATGCTAATGATGCGTGCTAGTTTTGCCCCGAGCAAAATGTGTGAAGCACGCCAAGTTATCTTCCATCATGTTATACCCCTCCTTTCTCTTGATGCTTATCTCACTTCCACCAAGACTATCACCGACACCCAGGGCTCCCACACAGCATCCCATCTGTAGTCTATCTCCCAAGAAACAGCATTTTATTTTCCCAGGACTCATGCAAACACTCTCTTACGTCCACCCCCTAAGACAACTTCTCTTTGTGACCTGACAATGTGCGGCAAAGGATCAGGTACTTAAAATTTAGTTTTCTCAATAATGTAATGTTTTTAACTAAATACAGATTTTTTTTTTTTCAATAAGAAAGAATAAATGTAAAAATTTCAGATAGGACTAGTGATGAGAAAGGCATACTGAGCAGAAGAATATCATTGAAGACATGAGAAAAATAAAGATTTCTCATCACACTATGCTATCCTGGTAAGCACTGTGCCCACGATATTCCCATTTTAAAAGTATTCCCACTCCCACACCCCACTTCACCTGCTCCCCACCAAGAAGAATGGTGGTTGCCCTGATCTCCTGGTCTAGAGAAAACAACACACAGTGAGTGGGCCAAACAGCCAGGGCCCACGGGAAAACACGGCAGCCTTGGGCTTCTCCAGGCAAGATGCAGAAGAAAGCTTACAGGCCTGGAGTCAGGCTTCCACTACATCGAAGATGATTTGCTGCCACAATCAGTATGGAGACAGTCACTAAAGTACTTAACTATCAAACTCTGCCTTTGTTCCTGGAATTCAAGCAAAGAGAACACAGAGAAGCCCAGGTGCCTTCAGTACCAACGACCACTTACAAGGTGCATACGGTGGGAGAGCTCTGCAGGGAGCCAGCACTCAGGCTTGGCTGCCCAAGGAGGAAATCAAATGGTCTCAATGTTGCAGTGGGAATGTCACGCTTTATAAACCATCAGTCCTGAGAAAACACATTTGAGTGCTAGGGCCATTCCTGTTCCTTTCAGAGCCTGCGTGTCGATGGGCTTGTTAGTCTGTACTATCTGATTCACTTACATGGCTGCATTCTAAGGGGATGCACTCAGAGCTCTCAATCAAGATGTAAAATATTCTCTTTTTTTAAACAAAACTTTAGTTTTGTAGAGCACTTTTAGGTTCACAGCGAAATTAGTGGCAAGGACAGAGATTTCCCAGGTACTCCCTGACCCCACACGTGCACAGCCTCCCCCATTATTAATATCGCCCGCCAGAGTGGTACATTTGTTGCAACTGATGAACCCACACTGACACATCATTATCTCCCCAAATCCACAGTTTACATTAGGGTTCACTCTTGGCGGTGTACATTCTATGAGTTTGGACAAATATATAATGATATGCACCCTCCACTATATCATACAGAGTATTTTCACTGCCCTACAACAATTATTTACCTAAGGATTTAATTTTTAAAATAAGACTGTTTTTGTGAACATGGAAAAATACTAAAATCTGACTTCCTAGTTCCAAACCAAAAATTTTCTTCACTTCCTTTTCCCACTCTTGTCTAAGAGTTACATACGCCCGGCAAATGTACCAATTTATTTCATTTATTAAACAGCCTTTCTTGGTGAGATGTACTTGAAACCTTTCTGAAAGGTCAAAAGGGTCAAATAATTCTAATATTTTCATCATCGTTCCTTGCTGCCTTTCTTACCCACCTTCCCCCACCCTCCGTATCTCTTTTATGCTAGGGAGAGAATTTCTAGCACACCGTTTTATATGCTCCATTGTGATGTGTATTACAGTTTTGACTAAAAGCTCAGTGTGGACCCAATAGGGTGGACCTAGAGATGGTTTAGGGGCAGCATCTCCCACCCCTATCCTGGCCCTCCTTAAACTCTGATAATGGAATGTCTCTTTGTCAGCTGTGTCCTCCACTGGAGGTCTGGGAGCTGTGGGGATGGGCTTGTTTTGCTCACTATTGTCTCTCTGGCTCTTAGAACAATGCCACACCACAGTGACCACTCAATCAATATTTTTTAAGTTATTGAATAAGCAGCCATTTGTGAGATTTTTATTCAGGCATTCTAAACTGCTTCACTGTCTCTTTTTGACCGGTGTTCTAGAATGCCTACTTGAACAGGACTTGGAGGAAAGAGGGTGGAGTCATCACTGGCCATGAGTTGCTCTCCCTATAGTGAGGAGCCACATTCAGCTACTGCTTTCCCAGAGACAATGAAAGTTCCTCTTAGCAGTCGGCAGTAAATTAAAGAAATGAGAGCATTTTTAAGCTGGAAGAAATTTTGGGTCTAGGTGGGCTACAGAAAGCAGCAGCTGAGTGTGGAGTTTCCCTCTTTGTGTTGGTTTGGTTGAGGATCTCTTGCTGTAACAGACTTCACTGTGTCCCATAGAGGGAGAAATAGGGAGACTGTCATTTGCCTTTTTCTAGGAACACAGCATTTACCATCTCACTCTTTGCATTGAGAATGGTTTGCTCAGAGCCAGCCCTGATGGCCTAGTGGTTAAAGTTTGACACTCTCCGCTTCGGTGGCCTGGGTTCAGTTCTCGGGCATGGAACCACACCACTTGTCTGTCAGGAGCCATGCTGTGGTGGCAGCTCACATAGAAGAACTAGATGAATTTACAACT